ATATATATATATATATATATATATATATATATATATATAAACAGAGCCTTTTATATGGGTGAGTTATTTTGATGGACTGGCCGATGTCCGATATTTAACTTCATCGCTAATATCGACCGATACAAATACCATGGCAATAATATTGTGCATCCCTACAATAAGTTTAGAGACCAGTCTTATTTTCATAGAGACCAAAATTACAAATCTGATTCTGTAATATGACCAAACTCAGGTCAAAAATTTATAACAAAGGAATAAAAACTTTGACATATTTGTCAGATCATCAGATTTGTCAGTGACTAAAGTTGCGTTTCAGCGTGTCTAAAGCACCACAAGTTAGTTGGGAGCTCTTGAAACCATCTCTGTTACTGTGATGATGGTTGAAACCATTCTGAAACTCCAGACGCCTGTGAGGAAAGGTCTGTGAGAACATCCATCATTGACGTTGCAATAATAAGTGAGGAATCAGGAGATCCAGCTGTGTGGAATATTAAAGTTAGGGGTTAGAGCAGGCCATTTCTGGTGCAAGATGATGAGTAGAAATAAAAACTGCTTGATGACTGAGTGGAAGAATGAGAGGTCCGGCAGTCCATTTGAACAGAGGTCCCACTAAAGTCAGTTTGTGGCTTTATAGTTAATAAAAAAAGAAAAACCAGGTGCATAACTTTAAATTTAACAGCACACATGCAGAAAAAAAAGATTTTCTGTTCTCTACAGTCTGACTTTAACACGACTACTTTACTCTCATGTGCTTCAACAGATAAGAAATCCCTGCAGACCTTATATCCGTCTTTCTTACCCATGTCAATCTTCTCCACTTACAAATGCTATTACCGGTCAACAGAGACTGCTGCTGGCAAACAACACCACTGCAGCAGACGGGGAGGAAAGCAATTCCCAATTCTCCCGCTGCACATCCGAATCCCCGAGGTCAACGGCTTGTTTTCAGAATGTGCTAACACGCTAAAAAGAAGGCGTCTATTCTGGTCATAATGAACACTCCAGGGCCATGCAGAGCGGGGAAGAAGAAACGAAGAGGATCTGCCAGCGTTCCTCCCATGTGGGTTCATTTGTCAGTCTTCTTCATCCCTGAAAACAAATAAGTGCAATTCCCGCGTGGGATTCAGTAAATGTAAAGCCCGGCTGTATCTCAGTGTTTCAGTGGTATTACAGTTTGGAACTAGCACTAGCTGCTCGGCAGAGCGGAGCGCAGGGAACGAGGCCTGTGGGTGTGTGTAGGATGGTGGAAGAGGCAAAAGCTGGATTCACGTATTAAAGCAGGTACAGGGAGGGTTTTGTGAGGGTCAGCTGTGTGTGTGCAGGAAAGACTTTCATTAAGTGTAGATGTCAGGGGACCTAGTGAAGGACTTAAGGGGATGAGTCATTATCCAAGGGTTAGCCATGTCTGACTATTAGGTGTGTATGCACTTTTGAGTTGTCCAAAATATTGTAAACAACTCTTATTCTGAAAAATGTTACACCTGTTTTACAGTTTATACATCAAAACATCAGAATGTCATCAGTATAGATTATCATTATAGGAAGTCACAGATTACTATTGAGTTTTACAGAAGACAACTGATGTCAGTCATATTTTCAAGCAGTAGTTTCATTGTCACCCTTCCATTTTACTTAGGAAATTTTACAGTCAATCATATTTTCTACAATTTGAGAGCTAACGCAGGAGTATCCTGATGCATACTCAAAATCCAGGTAGATAAATCTAACAAGGTTGAGTCAGGTCTTCTGGACGGATTTGTCAAGGGAATTTAGGTAAAGGTTATGGATGTTTATCAGTAACCAATATTAAATTAATCTGTGTGAGTTAGAGAGTTGTTTTGTCTCCTCAGAGAGGAGCCTGCAGGTGCACAGAGGCGCTACTGATCAACTCCAAGGCCTTCTACAAGTGTGTAAGCTGGAAAACAGAGGTCGTCTTGATCGTGTCTCTGTCTGATCAGTGTGCATTAAAGCATTTCCTGCCTTGCTGTCCGGTGCAGATTCTCACTGACGAGGCTCGAAGCATGTAATTTTTGCACCCAACAGGATTCTTCTTTGCTGAAACATTTCATATTTTATCCAAAAGACTTCTTCAGTCACTTGACCACTTGTTCTTGCTGAGGTCGGACACTTTCCCCCCTCCTCTCCCTCCTCTGCTTTGCTTTGCTGCTCTGTCCTGTCTGTGAAACTGCTTCTGAGCCTCTCTCTACACATCTTCTGAACCATAATTTTATGGATCTGGTCAGTTGGTCTCTCAACGCAATGGACAAAATTTTTTGATACAAGCTTCAGGCGAGCTGAACTGCCCGGACGACATGTTTTGCTGTCGATCGAGGACGCCAAAACTGCATATAATTGGATTTATGAAAACAGTTTTCCCGTTTTTGGAATTGTCTGGTTCCTGGTTTATTAACATACAAAGAAGATGGCCGCAGCTAATCTGGCCTGGTCAGGCTGCTGTCTATGTGAAGGTTTGCTCCGTGTCTCATGCACCCAGACTCTACTGCTTAGCGAACTGGATTGGAAATTGGATGTGATTTGTGAGCATCATAGGCTATATGCAGGCCCTAGGACTCGCTGACAGAATGGATCAAAATCTCAGGGAATATTCTCAGGCACGGATCAGTGGTGTGTCCACTTAATTTGGACCTTTTGGAATCTACGTGAGACCAGCAAAGACTCAAGGCAGATAAAAATTAAAGTTTTGCCTGACTTCAAAAACAAATGTTATTTATTTGAATTTGGTTTCCTTGGCTGGCCTTGCAGGCCACCTTATCTGAATTCGCC